AAATTGCACATGAATGCAGTCTTTTATCCAATCAGTAGATGGAGCTGCAGGTTCTCATAACCATGGGGTTGTAAAAACGCCTTTGGTCAAAATACTTAGCTGGAGCAATTGTAAGCAAAGTGTTACTAAATCCAGGACCCTGAATTCACTAAATCCGGTCTCCCACAGTGCACAGAACATGGAAGTGCAATTATTTTAGTAGATATAAACTGCTAAATACCTTTTCTCATCATCAGTTAGAGCAGTCTTGTGACTTCTATCGGTGTCCAGCAAAGAACATGTTAAAGCTTGTAGGAGGCATTTTCATTCTGCTCTAGGAGGATGCAGAACCCCTGCCTCTGTCTGAACAGTGGCAATTGGTCCTGTGCTGATCAAATGCACTATCCCTAGAAAAACCTCTCTAGCAATACATACCAAACTGAGCATCTGCAGAGTGACTCCACACAATATGTCTTATCAGGAGATAAAAGGGGGACAGTGTAAGAGGGGGAGGATCAGAGAAGTCATGATCAAACAGCATTTTTACAAAATGCAGAGGATTAACCCTGTAGGTTCCACAGTGAGTATAAAAAGCATGCTTTACTGCATATACAAGCTCATGTACTGTTGTGGGTTAAGTAACACTTTAAGCTGGAATGAGTTATTAATCCATTATCAAATGGATCAGCTCAAAGTTTCAGACAAAGTGGAGAAGTCAGAAAAGACACTTCTGTAGTGATTCATTTGCTACCTTAATAGTGCTCTGGAAATCCTTTCACCAGGACAGCAAGGCACAGATAGCAGTAAAAAGATTTAGAGCAGTTCTAAAGCAGAAGAATGGAAACTGCCTTAAAGTAACATTAAACCTTCATTTTCTTTAAATTAAAATCGCAAACATGGTGTACTTACCTGCTCTGTCCAATGGTTTTGCACAGAGCAGGCCTGAATCTCTTCTTCTGGGGTCCCCCACCGGCACTCCAGGCTCTTCCTCTTCCGCAAGTGTTCTCATGGAAAGTCACTTTCCATGGGGGCACCCGTGCGGGCCCACTCCTAAGCTGCCCTGTCTGCGTCTATTGACACAGTGCATGGGGCTTAGCCCCACCCTCGTTCCCTCTTTCACAGCATTTGAATGACAGTAATGGGAGCCAACAGCTTCCACTGCTATCAATCTACCCAGTGAGGAGTGAGACAGCGACAAGAGCCGCTGCTGTCATGCAGATCCTTGGATCAGATCAGGCTCAGGTAAGAATAAGGGGGGGCTGGGGGGATCCTGCAGCACAGAAGGTTTTTACCCTAATACATAGAATGCCTGAAGAAGTGCAGTATATTGTTGGTGTATGGAAAGCCCCCAAGAGATGTACTTTCTGTTTATATGATTGGCTCACCAATGTTCTCAAACATTTACGCTAAATCTGGTCATTCACTATGCAAATTTTGTCCAGTTCCTGATGAACTGGAAGAAATTTGCTGGGAGCATGGCCCTTTTGCCACCTAACATCCTTTGATTGAAAAATCAAAGGAGCTGAGTGTTCTGATAGTCTGAAAGTGACTGGCTGTGAGAAAACAATAGCCACAGTGGGAGATTTATCCATCAGGGCTATTTAGTGTGAATGGAGGAATCTGTTAGATTTTTTTTTAATTAACCCTGCAAGCTGAATGAAAAAAAAAAAATCTGTGTATGCCCAACTTTAGATACAAGTTGAATTTTTAGGCATCCCCTGCAATAAGAATTGTAGATTTCGTAAGATTCTCCCCAAGGGTTAACTACTTTTACAAGGATGCAGACACTGCGGCCCCTTAGAGATTTCACCTTGGTTATAAATGAAAGCAGGGGCTCCTATTCAGAAATCAGTCTGGAATGGAAATGGTGAAACAAACAGCTACTTATTCAGAACAGAAAAATGTTACAATCTGCTAAAATGTACATAGATCACCAAGAGGGCATTTTTTTTCAACAAAAGTAGATTTACAATGCATCATAGCAAGTACACTGCAACATGGGTGCATTGGGAAGATGTGCGGAGAATGCCATTTACAAATACTGGCACCACAGCTTAGTGTTCTAAATGAGACATAAAAGTAAATATTGTCTCTATTGTGCCCTCAGCACAGGCTTCCGTTAATGAATATTTGAGCTTGGTGATGTGGCAAGAGGATCACACCAAACCCAGCACAGCACAACTTCTGTTAACACTTTTCTATCCAGCTCTCAGCATTGCAAACAAAGCTATTAGTAAGGTACCTTCACTTACTGTGCATTAAAGTGGGCTTAAATACAACTGCTAATGAAGCCTATTCCCATAGTTTCCGCTCATCAACATGAAGAAATACTCAGTTGAAATGACCCTTTTTGGGCTCACTCCAGCTCTAATACCTGCACTGTACAATTGTACATGCCAAAATCTGTCAACACTGGATAGTCAAGAAGAAACAGCCAATCAACTTCACTGCCATATTCAGTTCCTTCCCTAATGGAACCAAGTGCTGGAGGTAATGCTGGGACTAGATCCAAGTAAGCCCAGAACTGTTCTCCGGTAATGTTAATGGGGTTAACTCTGTACATTAGACTAATGGGGGGGGGGGGTGGGAAACACGTTTCATTAGGACATTAATTTAGATCCTCTTTAACCTTTTTACTGAAACCCTTTTCAATTACTCTGTATTAACCTTCTTTTGTAGTCCTGCCACTCAAAGTACATCAATTCTTTAATGTGCAACCTAGAGTAATTGTACAATAAAGCCAGCCACAGATGGATCAAATCTCAGCTGGTTCTGCAGGGATCCATCTATGGGCAGGCTGGTTGTACCAAAGTTGATCCATCAATAGACTTGGGTACAACCAGCCTGCCGAATTTATTACATGCAATATATATTACATATAGCCGATAGCAGTAGTCATTGTGTTCTGCCAGCAGCAGCCACAACAGTTTCACAGGAAGGAATTCACCCATCAACACTGACTGTGTTGATGAGGAAATAGAGCAATTGTCCTTGGTTGCAAGAAAGAAAATCGAATCATTTATGGCTTGCCTTAACCTTTACCCGCCCTTCCTAGTCAATGTACTTTATCCCTTCAATGGGCACATACCAATTTCAGCACTCTTTCGAGTCATTTAGCACTACTTTTTTGTACGCCATACACAAAAACTATGCTGGACACTATGCACTCTGTGTCCTCAGCTCTATATATCGTTCTGAACATTTACATTTTGCAGGTGCTTGGCTGTATGCTCTATTATTTATTACAGGTACTTATACAGCACCATCAATTTACGCAGCGCTTTTAAATAAACATATACATATATATATATATTTCATTCACATCAGTCCCTAACCCTGAAGGAGTGTACAATCTAAGGCCCCTAACTCACATTCATACATACACATACTAGGGCCAGTTTAGACAGGAGACAATTAACCTACCAGAATGTCTTTGGAAAGTGGGAAGAAACCGGAGTACCCAGAGGAAACACACTCAAGCACAGGGAAAACATGCAAACTCCAAGAAGGTGGTTCAGTGGTTGGGACTTGAACCAACGACGCTAGTGCTGCCAAGCGGTAGGGTCATTGGTTGAAATCATGTATGCTATACATTACATTCTCCAAACCTTTCAGCTGTGTATACTGTTTAAACATCTTAAAAACTGCTCAACTGCATGCACTAAACCACACAGTATGTCCAATGTGACAGCACTGTACAGCCTATGCTGTATACTACATACCCTGCCATTGAACTACAATGACCCTAAATCAGGGACTATGTCTTTTACAGTACTTTGGTCATGCATTATTATTATTATACAGTATTTATAAAGCGCCAATAGTTCGCTCAGCGCTGTACATTACAAAGGGGGACAGAACGTGACAGAACAACAACAATACAATGCAAAACATGAGGGGATCGAGGGTTTGTTTGTGGTTTAATAATACATTATATATAAATCACATATGAGTAAGTATTACATTTAAAAGTGATAAAGTAATTATTTTGCTGTATAGGTCTTCCTTTTATATATGCATGACTAAATAGGATGCTACATTAAACATATAAAATATGTGACATACCTTTGTTTATCTGTTTCGGATTTTATTTCCTCTGTAAATAGGAACAAAAGAAAACAAAAATTAGAAAGTGACTTCAAAATTCTAAATCAGTTTCATCTTACTCTACAAGTCCTTAAAAGCTTAAAAGGCAATTTCACCCAAAATTAATCATTTCGTTTTTAGAGCAGCAGACTGTAAAACTATATCTATCACAAACCCATTATATCCATTCAGATGCCCTGGCACTGCCATTAGACATAGAAAAATAGTTACTGGCTCCTGATCGACCTTTTAACAAACTGAAAATACAAGCAGACAATGGAAAAAGTCATGTGCATTGAAATAAAGTTGTGAGTGACGGTTTTGTAATTCAGACGGTACAGCTGTCAACCACACTGCTGGATTACAGTAATAATATGCACAATACTCCATTAGTGTATAAAATGAGCCAAAACAAAATCTTTTCATAAGAATTCACCAAAATCTATATTTTTTTTCATCAGTCATCCTGAACCATCTTGAAATCTTTGTTTATTAGTACAGCTTTGACCTTTAATAAAGAGGTATACCGTGAAAGCTTGTCATGAAAATGTGGGTGTTCATGCAAATAAAAATCTATTACTGACAGTACTCAATTGTTCTTGTTGCAAATTACTTCGAAATCTATACTTTATATGCATTGGCCACACGGGATCCTGAAGGAGCTTTCACAAATTGCCCTGAAATCCATATTCTAATGCATCAGCCACCCTGAACCATGAAGCAGCTTTCACAAATTATCCCAAAAATATATGTTCTTTATATATTGCCCATCCTGGATCATGAAGACACTTTCACAAACATTATACACAAATGGCCAGTTTACTATAACGCAGACTTCAGAAGGGTCTGACTATGGCCAGTGAGAGTAGAAAATGGCCTGGTATCCGTGGGAGTAAACAATGTCCCATCTTTGATATTAGGGGGAAGAATAGTGCCCCATCGTTGGTGCCAGTGGGAAGAATAGTGCCCCATCCTTTGTGCCAGTGGGAAGAATCGTGCCCCATCCTTGGTGCCAGTGAGAAGAATCGTGCCCCATCCTTGGTGTCAGTGGGAAGAATCGTGCCCCATCTTTGGTGCCAATGAGAATAGTGCCCCATCCTTAGTGCCAGTGGGAAGAATCGTGCCCCATCCTTGGTGCCAGTGGGAAGAATCGTGCCCCATCCTTGGTGCCAGTGGGAAGAATCGTGCCCCATCCTTGGTGCCAGTGGGAAGAATCGTGCCCCATCCTTGGTGCCAGTGGGAAGAATCGTGCCCCATCCTTGGTGCCAGTGGGAAGAATCGTGCCCCATCCTTGGTGCCAGTGGGAAGAATCGTGCACCATCCTTGGTGCCAGTGGGAAGAATAGTGCCCCATCCTTGGTTCCAGTGGGAAGAATAGTGCCCCATCCTTGGTGCCAGTGGGAAGAATAGTGCCCCATCAATAGTGTCAGTGGGAGGAATAGTGCCCCATCAATGGTGTCAGTGGGAGGAATAGTGCCCCATCAATGGTGTCAGTGGGAGGAATAGTGCCCCATCAATGGTGTCAGTGGGAGGAATAGTGCCCCATCAATGGTCTCAGTGGGAGGAATAGTGCCCCATCAACAGTGTCAGTGGGAACAATAGTGCCCGATCAACAGTGTCAGTGGGAGGAATAGTGCCCCATCATTCTTATTAGAATGAGGAATAGTGCCCCATCGTTGGTGTCAGTGGAAGGAATAGTGCCCTATTGTTGGTGTCAGTGGAAGAAATAATGCCTTATTGTTGGTGTCAGAGGAAGGAATAGTGGCTCATATCAGTGGTAGGAACAGTGGGCGGAATAAAGGCAAGCAAAGGCCGTAGTTTGGAGACCACTGTACTAATGCACTGCCCATGCCGAACCATTAAAAAGGTTTTCATAAATTACCCTGAAATGTATATGCGGTGGTCATCCTGGACCATGAATTAAGTCTTCACAAAATCCCCCACCCCATCCTACATACATGCACACACTGAAAATGCAATAAAATCCAAAATGCACAATGATGGAGGTTACACAGAAGCAAACAACTGCTGTTCTGCACAAATAAGAAGTTATTTTATTAACTTATTTCTGATTGCAAGTAAGGTGAGCCATAGACATACGATAGTGGCTGGAAAATGCGATTCTCAAAGGATCTGTCATTGTTTTTCTTTTCTTTTAGAATGAAGCGCACTCCTCCTTACAGGGTCACCACCCCTTTTAGCACTTCAAGGTGATCTTCAGCTATTCTCCAAAATTGTGATCCATACAAAGGTTTTTAAAATAAAATAACCATTTTATTTACTGTATAAACATTTAAAAGGTTTGCAGCAATGTAAAAAGCTCTGAGCTCGGGAAAGGGCAGGCTGTTGACTCCAGACCTCACTCACATAATAGAGGAGCTCTTTGCATTGCTGCTAAGCTTTCAAATGTTTATAAAGCTATTTTTATTGTACAGATCTGTGTGTGGATCACAATTATGGAGAAAGATCTCTCTATAACAATGAGAGACCATTTGAGCTGAACATTCACTCTCAATGTGTACACAGCAGAGACCTTAGTACATTCCTTTTTCTCAGGCAAACAATCTACTATAGATTGTATAGAAAATGCTTTCCAAACCATTAACTTCCTCTGAATGTGGTCCACCAGGGGGGGGTTGCAGAAGTTACAATTTGTACACAGAAGTAATCTGATCATTAATGATCAGATCAGCTAACAATCATTTCATATCTTTAAGTAACATGAAGGATACGCATGAAAGGAAACTTTCATAAGAAAAACACAAAGGCTGTCATTCTGCCCTCTAGCCTCAGTACTTTCTGATTCAGAAATAGCTATGCAGATAATGAGTTTTCCCTTCATTACCTGATCTGCATACTTATTCCAGGTCAGTGAAATGAAAGACAAATTCAAACCATTGCAGTTCCGAAGGTGCGCAGGTACCATGGATTCCCATGGAAGCTGGAAATCATTGCACCAGGTTCCGGGTCCTGAGCCATGCGGCTGCCCTGTCATATTTGGAACATAGGTTATCACACTTGGCATAGGCACAATTCAAAGTTTTCTTTGATTTGGCAAGGTGGGGGGGGGGGGGGGGGGCTAAATGGCTTCCACCTGGCAGTACTAGGGTCATTGGTTTGAATCCCAACCACGGCACCACCTGCATGGAGTTTGCATGTTCTCCCTGTGCCTGCGTGGGTTTAATCCAGGTACTCCGGTTTCCTACCACACTCCAAAGACATGCTAGTAGGTTAATTGGTTCCTGTCTAAATTGACTGTAATATGTATATGTGAGTTAGGGACCTTAGATTATACACCCCTTGAGGGTTAGGGACTAATGTGAATGTATATATATATCCACACACACACACGTGTAAAGCGCTTTGTAAATTGATGGTGCTATACAAGTACCTGAAATAATAAAATAAATGGTACTAATGCCAATAGGTGCCCTTCTGTGTTCCGCAAGCAGAAGTGAAGCCACTTGGCATGGGAACCAAATGTGAAGATCAGTGTAATTGCAGTGCCTAATTCAGGGATTTTCAGCTTCCACAGTGATACCACAGGAATGACACATACTGTCAGGAACCATCGCGACGCATGGGTCTACACATGCGTAGGTGTCTGCCGAGACGTATAGGTGGCAGGGCACTAGGACCCAGGCGTACCTGTCGTCTGGACAGTACTAGACAGGCACTAGGACCCAGGCTACGCCTGTCAGGTGCAGGGCGGCCTATTTAAGCTAGCCCTGCACAGACACTTGTTGCCAAATGGTCTTTGTATCCTGTTACCTGTGTGTGAGTACTTCTGATCTGGATTGTTTTGACCTTGTTGCCTTCTCCCGTCCTGACCCCTTGGCTTGCCTGACTCTGCTCCCGGATGTTCCCGTTTAGATCTGACCTCCTGGTATTGACCCTGCGTGTGACCCGACTATCCTTTGCCTACCGTTTTGTACCTTACCGATCCTCTAGTTATCGTCCCGGCCTGCATGACTCTGATTTAGCTCATCCATCCATCCACCCCGCAGGGATCACTAGGCTCCCTTACATCAGACTCCTAGCTCCCTGAGCCCTGTCAGGACTCCTCTACCCCTGTTGGAGATACCTGGTAGTTGCGACCTTGGTACCGGAGCGCTCCAAGTCCATCCCCACCATCAGGGGCCCTGGTGAACGAGTGCTCCGGTGCTTAGACTCCGCACGCTGGGGAGGCTCTACCGGGGGACTGATAGAGGTGCTGTCAGGCGGTCCCTTACAGTACCATTCGGCCATGTCTGAGTCTGGAGGGTCGCCTTCCCCATGGGATGAGATGTGCCAACATTTGTCCGGACTGACCCAGGCAGTAACTAACCTGCAGGACAAGTGTAGTCGGTTAGAAAATCAATTTGACACCCTAACGTTATCTGGAGTGTTCCCCTCAGAGTCAGGCCTCAGCTACTGACACTAGGGCGGTTTCTGAAATCTCCCAGTGGGGCTGCGGCTGCAGCTTCCACCAGCCGAACCCCGCGTTCCCATGCCTGAAAGTTTTCAGGGAGATCGAGCATGTTTTAGAACGTTCAAAAACGCATGTTACTTGTTTTTTGAACTGCAACCACGTGCGTTTACCACAGAGTCCGTCAAGGTGGGATTTGTAATTTCTCTTCTACAGGATGAGCCCCAGGACTGGGCCCTTAGACTAAGGGAAACGCAGGACCCTCAGTTACAGACCTTAGACGCATTTTTTTAAGGCCATGTCAGTTCTGTACGATGACCCCCAGCGGGCGGTTTCGGCTGAAACCACCCTTTATGCCCTACGACTGGGTCGTCGAGCTGCGGAGGAATACGCCTCCGAGTTCAGGCGATGGATGGGGGACACACACTGGAATGACGCCGCCCTAAACGTCACCAATTTAGGGTCGGACTCTCGGAGGGCCTAAAAGATGAGTTAGCTCGGGTTGGCCTCCCCGGGTCTCTAAAGGAGTTGATCGACCTGGCGATTCAGATTGATCGCAGGTTAAGGGAACGCCGGTCTGAGAGGACAGGTCAAGGCCAGGGTCAAGGAGTTACCTGGATACCCCCCAAAGGCACAGGTCATTCCGTCCCTGCTCCTGTTCCACCAGTTGTCTCCACTGATGTGCCAGAACCGATGCAGCTGGGTTTGGCGCGGCAGACCCTTACTCCAGAAGAACGCCAGAGACGGCGGGCCAAGAACCTGTGTTTCTATTGCGGGGGAGCTGGACATGCAGTGCGAATCTGTCCAGTGAAGACATGTAAGTCTCGATCTTCGGTTCCTGTTTCCTTGAGTAATATAAGTCAGTCCAATTACTTAGCGGTACCCCTTTTGTTTCAGCTGCCAGAGAAAACCGTGGTAACCACTGCAATCATTGATTCGGGGGCCTGCAGTTGCTTCCTGGACCTTGACTTTGCCCGCCAGCAGGAGATACCATTACAGGCCAGGAAATGGGGGCTCAATTTGTTCTTGGCTGATGGTTTCCAAATAAAATCAGGTTTAGTGGACCAAGAGACCCCTCCCATACTCACCACCGTAATGGGCTCCCATCGGGAATTACTACACTTTGACGCCATTGCGTCACCCCTTTTTCCAGTGATCCTGGGGCTTCCGTGGCTGCAGGCCCACAACCCCCCAGATCGACTGGAAAACCGGGTCCCTTAGTTTTTTCTTCAGACTATTGTCAGAAGAACTGCCAGGCCTCTGGGCACCGGGCCCCCCAGATCCTCTTATGTGCAGAAGAGGACGCTAACCTAAGACAGATTGTACCAACCGTATATCATGAATATTTAGACGTGTTCAGTAGACGAGGGGCTGATACACTACCACCACATCGACCATATGATTGTCCCATTGACTTATTGCCAGGTTCTGAGATTCCTTTTGGCCGTATCTTCCCGCTATCGGAAAAGGAATTAGGGGTACTGAAGGACTATATTGAGGAGAACCTCCAGAAAAAGTTTATTCGCCCTTCCACATCTCCGGCAGGGGCGGGTATCTTCTTTGTGGAGAAGAAAGATAAAACCTTGAGACCCTGTATTGACTATAGGGAATTAAATCGGGTGACCATCAAGAACCGCTACCCTCTACCTCTGGTCCCAGAGTTATTCCAGAGTCTGGGGACAGCGGTCTGCTTTACGAAGCTGGATCTGCGTGGGGCATACAATCTGGTCCGCATCCGGGAGGGGGATGAGTGGAAAACAGCTTTCCGTACTCGATTTGGGCACTTCGAGTCCTGGTCATGCCGTTTGGACTTTGCAATGCCCCAGCCACGTTCCAACACTTCATAAATGACGTGTTGCGTGATTTCTTGGACATTTTCGTTATCGTCTACCTAGACGATATTCTGATCTTTTCTCCATCTCTAGATGTCCACAGAAACCATGTAATCAAGGTTCTGGAACGGCTGCGCCTGCACGGCCTATATGCCAAGGCAGAAAAATGCAGCTTTGAGCAGCAAAGCATTGCGTTTTTAGGAATGATTATCTCCACTGCGGGGATCGCAATGGATCCCCAAAAGATCTCGGCTATTCTTGATTGGCCAATTCCAGCCGATAAGAAAGGCGTCCAAAGGTTCATAGGATTTGCCAATTTTTTACCGTAAATTCATCAGGAATTTTTCAGGTCTGGTTTCCCC